TACCATTACCAAGTATGGTTTTACCAATGAGAACACGAGATACAAACATAAAACGTTCACCCTTTGAGTTTGGTTTTGCATACGTATGACTGTATGTTGGTTGTGAAGAAAAATAGACACCGAACCCGTATGATGTTCCTATAAGTAGAAAAAAGTGTCTTGAAGAACAGAAAAAAATGAAACTTTGTTTTTACCATTGACACCAGCAAAACTGCGATTAAAACAATCTTCGCTGATTGCTATGGCAGCTGTGTCTGGACACCCGTGATATAACAGTTTTTCCGTTTCTATATTCAAACGTTTTTTAAATTCTGAACGATGTACAAGATATTGTAGATATTGTCGTTCATTTTGAATACGTTCCATCTGAATTATTTCTGTATATTTGCCTTTCATAGTTTTATCAAACTCATTGAATACAGATTGATATTCTTTAGTGTTTATATTGAGTTTAAAACGAATGGTATTGTTTGCTGTTGGCGAATGTTCCCATGTTTCTGGTAGTTGATGAGTGGTTGTTGACACAGGTAGTGCTAGAAACGGAAATAAATAGTTGGGGCTCCTCTTTATCATTTTCATTCAGAAACGACAGTATAAGAATATTTAGACAGGATAGAATTCCGCAAGAAAATTTTACTTGCTCCCTTCGAGGGTCTTTAGTTTCGCTTAGGAACGCAAGTCCACGATGACAAACTATTAAGAAGGAAGAATGAAAAAGTTACCTTGTAGTGCGACTACTTGTTTACAAAATTCGTCATAAATATTTTGTTTGTCTTCTTCAATTATAAACAGGATTTTGAGTGGAATATTTCGTATTGTCAATTGATTTTTTGCTTCTCGAACCAGAGTCTTAACAACAATACCGATTGAGCATCCATGCTGACCACATCCGATAGCTGGAAATGCTATACTTGTAAAATTATGTGCCAATGCATTTTGTACGGAATTGGAGACAAAATCAATAACAGATTGACGTAAGATGTTGTCATCTTTATCTGGAGACCATTTTAGGAAAAATACACGTTTACATGGTAAGTGACCGGCGGGTGTTGATATCAAAATAGAATTGGGATAATTTTTAATTTCTTGTGTATATGCTTGGTTGACAGTGTCACCAGCGACTTTAATGATATACCGAAGTAACAATGCAGACGAGGAACAACCAACAATGGCATCAACC